GAGAGAGCACGTACTAGAGTCCGACGTGCAAAAGTTAGCCATGCCAAAGTTGGAGTGCCGCCAATTAGATTGGAGGGTTATACGAAACATGGTGGAGGAAATCTTTAAAGACACCGAAGTTCAGGTGTTAGTCTGTTGCAATCCGCATAGTTACTGCTGCGGAGAGAAAACCGTCCTTGTCATTTCTATACAACTGGAAGTTGTAAAAGAGGGTCCAGTTGCCGATATCAGCATGTCGTTCCAGTTCCAGTCCCGACAAGGTTCCAGGAGGAACCATCTTTTAAGAGGGGGGCAATGTTACGATTTTAAATGTTATGGCATATAGAACTGTAAATATTTTATGACTAATTCTTTTTTATTGATTCTCGTAATTTGTAGGTCAAAATATACCTGAGCTTAGCTACCAGTTGTTTACCAGAAATCTCTAGACCCTAATTTTAGTGAGTCATCCACGTCTCGAGGTTGAAAAACGAGTCGAGCGCCTTCACCAAAATACGAGATTATTCAGGAAGTTGGCCGAAAGTTCCAGTATTTTCGACAATGGTCAGGTCAGGTCTAGGCGGTCTTACGGTTCTTTATATAAGAACGAAATTTTATTGAAGAGGTCAGTCATAAGAAGATCGGTAAACGCGGTACTTGTAACGAAACGTGAAATAAATACATTTGTAAAGTTATTTAATAAATTAGTAATTAGCTATCGTGAGTTTTAATAAATTAGATTATAGACAATAAATTAGAATAAAGACAAATAAATTCGAACTATATAAATATACAACAATATATATATATATATATATATATATATATATATATATATATATATACAGGGTGGTCCTTAAGTAATTGTACAAAAAGAAACTGAAGATTCTACGCTTTAAAATATTACGATTAAAGTCAACTTGCTTTAATAAAATGTTGATATTAAAAAAGATACAGAGTGTTAAAGTGGAAATTTAAAATTTTTTTTTCGCTATAACTTTCATGTTTGTAAACATTTATGTACAAAAATTTACAACTGGGTACTATTTAATATTAGGAATTATAATTTGATGCATACTTTGATATAGCCAATAGAGGGCGCCACATATACCACATACGTGGCATACATTTGCACTTAACTTTTTTGTTCTTCAAGTTATCGGTATTTTTGATACAAAATTTTAAAGATACATTATTTTAACAAAGAAAAGGTATAATTGTTAATAACTTCAAAACTCAACAGTTTTCGAGATAATCGCATTTTTCAAATCAGCTGCATAATTCTGATTTAACGCAATTACTCCAGGCAATGAAAGAAAAATAGATAAAAACATCAATACTTCTAAATTTTGTTATAAAATTCCTTTAATAAAGTTAATAGTTAACGAAATATTAAATAAAATAAATATATCAGCAGGATAATTAATAATAGAATTCGATAAAATAACAGAATAATTGGATTTTACATCAAACATTTTACGTTTTGTATTAAATTAAAGTCATAATCAAAACATTTTATTTCCAAATCAAATTAAGAAATTGTTAAACTAAATAACATTAAACTTTTTGTCAAAGTAAGTTCGATATGTCCACCATTTTCTTTAATTCATTTGTTAATACATTCTATAAAATATTGTCTCATATTAAATAGCATCATTGGTTCTAAAGAAACAGCTGCAGTACTTATAACAATAGGTATTCTTTTGGGATTTTTATGAATTAAATAATTATATTAATATCTTCCACGTAATCAAGGAATATAACTATCACGAACAATCCAACGTTCAGGAAAGTTTTTTTTAAATACTCTCACTCCCCCTTCTCTGTAATGTATTGGTGTACCATCTTGCATAAACCAAATATTTAGCCTTATGTTTGATGACAATTCTTCCAATAAATCAATAAAATCATTTTATAAAAATCTAAATAAATCTAACCATCCAAATTGCAAGGTAATTCGCATATCTATAAAATATCATTCAAAATTCATATTTAAAATGCATGTCCTATGGTTTGGAATCATTGGTAATTATTTTTTACGGATATGCAAATTACTTTGCAATTTAAATGTCGAGATTTATTTACATTTTTTATAAAACTATTTTATTGATTTATTCAAAGAATTATTGTCATCAAACTTAAGGCGAAATATGTGGTTTCTACAAGATGGTACACCATCTGTTATTTTATCCTGCTGATATATTTATTTTATTTAATAATTCGTTAAATATTAACTCTATTAAAGGTATTTTATACCAAAATTCAGAAGTATTGATGTTTTTATTTCGTTATCTGGAGTAATTGAAATAAATCAGAATTATGTAGTTGATTTCTAAAATGCGATTATCTCGAAAACTGTTGAGTTTTGAGGATATTAAGAAGTATACCTTTTATTTGTTAAAATAATGTATCTTTTTTATTTTTTAATAAAAATACCCATAACTTGAGGAGCAAAAAAGTTAAGTGCAAATATATGCCACGTATGTGGCATATGTGGCGCCCTCTATCAGATACATCAAAGTATACATTAAATTAAAATTTCTAATATTTAATACCACTTAGTTGTAAATTTTTATACATAAATGTTGACAAACATAAAAGTTATAGCAAAAAATAAAATTTTAAATTTCCACTTTAACACCCTGTATCTTTCTTAATATTAACATTTTATTTAAGCAACTTGACTTAAATCCTAATATTTTAAAGTGTAGAATTTACGGTTTCTTTTTGTACAATTACTTAAGGACCACCCTGTATATATATATATATATATATATATATATATATATATATATCATCGCAACAAGGAGTACAACCGTTTATCCAATATATAATAAGGATCACTCAGATGAGTGGTGGGACGATATTTGAACCCACCACTCGTCTGAGTGATCCTTATTATATATATATATATATATATATATATATATATATATATATATATATATATATGGATCTGGTTTAACTTTAAATAAAAGAAGAACACGGTTAACAAGAAGTAAAGTAGAAAAACTTATGTTTTTAAATGTCAATTTAGACGATTCGCGATTTAATAATAACGTGTAATGTAAATGTAACTACGATTTACTATTTGTATTGTTTAGTTTACTTTTCAAGTTATAATAAATATATCCCTCATTAGTTTCTTTTACTTCAATAAATATACACATAAACGATAATATCCATTATGTTTGTTTATGTAGGTACTCTCTTACTTAAAACTACTGTTAAACAATCATAGTTACTTGTTTACGAAAATCGGTTTAGTTGCGTTAACGATAAAAACGTCAACGACCCACCCCTACTCGTTACCACTGTCCCTACTTTGATTCGGTGCTTTGATGAGGCGAGAAGAGACGTTGCCAAATAATTTTGTATGAAGCTTTTTTTATTGTGGCGTCATATGCAGTTTATTATTTTTATTGGGAATAAGGCACAATGCGACTTTAAAATAAGCTTATTTTGATGTTTAGATTTTTAATTCGAAAATAGTACTTAAAATACGAAACATTAATAAATTTTATTTATATAAAACGATTTCCGAAGTGGAAATCAAAATATTATATTACATTTATTGTAAAGTAAAATTGTGCATATTCCCAATAAAAAACATTACGCTGCCATTTATATCCATTTCGCCCAAATTTGATTATCTTAGAACATTGTTCAAATGCTAAAAAGACAACAGGTCAAATAAAACCAATAAGTTGGGCAACGTTGAACTTCTCCTTTTTATTAATTCCACTCATGCATTTTCAGCGATATAAAGGGCAGACCTAATATACCTCTCTTTTTCAACAGGTGTTTCTCACTCCATCTCACGTAAGGTCCATACCGACCATAAACTTCTACCTATACTGTATATTATTAATTTTAAAGTAGAAATTATATCGTCGCTATTTTGAATTAAGTTCCTGGGACGACTTTATTGAAGTAAAGTTCTTTCGATTACGTTAAATTCACTTTAACGTAAATTTAACTTTAAAACTTGAGAATACTTGTCAGAAAAATAATGATAACAGTAGATCTGCCTTTAAAAAGACAACTACACTCAATCAGGACATTACAGTTCGCTTGTTAGTAATTTCACTGTAAATCACGAGAAATCATTTCTCATCTACTATCTTCTATCTTACTATCTTACTATCCCGACATGATAAAAATTTGGTGTCCCGTCGATATGTTATTGATTTATTAATGTTGCTTTTGAAGTTGGTATATCATCTCTTAGCCGTTATTTCCGATGAAGTCTAAATAACATTTGTTAAAACATTACTTTGAACACTAGGTTAGGTTAGGTTTTACCATCAGAAACCAATGTTTCATTAAAACACGCAACTTCGATTTCTATTTTTTAAATCAAAATGTAGCGTCGCTTAAATCACTGCAACTTTTAAGCTAATGGTCTGATTAAGCACTAATTATGACAGGTAAGATTTGAAGGTTGCCACTTTCTAAACCTAAATCTTATGAATTTGTTCTAAGTGGCGCCCTCTATATGTCAGGCCCGAGACTTATTGAGTGATGTGTACATATATAAATATGTTAAGGTTTTGTGATTTATTACTTATCGTGATTTAGTGTGAAAATCTAAATCACCCTGAAAACAATGAGTACATTTTATTTAAACAAAATTTTGATTTATGTCTGTGGTTTTCTGTCACTTATCACGACAAATTTTGAGGACTAAACAGTTCTGTGCAGATTTAACAATTTAATAAAAAAAAGATTTAATGAAAAGCAAAGTACTAAATCTAAGTCTAAGAGTCTAATCTATGAAATTCACAGGGAAGGAGAAGTGTATAGGAAGGAGAAGAAACTCATGGTTTCGCAACTGGCGGGAATATAGATGCTCATCTATCGAATTTTTGAAGATCAGAATAGCCACGGTGGTTGCCAACCTCTTCCGCAGAGTTAGCACATAAGAAAAAGAACCACGTCTGTTTTTGGAGGTTACAGGTAGAGGTTCAACTAAGCTTTGTCGCATAATATTTCTGTTTTAACCTAAAAGGACTACTTACTTCAAGAATCCATGCTTCCGTCATTAATTTTTCGTGGTTGGCTGTCGGTGAATTTTCTTTAAGGGATTGACTAGCTCTTGAAAGTACTACAGTGCTACTATAAATGTCAAAGGCTGCGTTTGCTAGACGATTCAACAGGCACTGTTCATTAACAATATTTTTTCCATATTTTATCAACAACATTTCAACTGCTTGCCCAAAGGAATCAACAGACTGGAAAAGATTTTTAATTTTAATTTACACAATCATTTATTGGTTTACTATATATAATTATTGACACACTTAAAATTGACACTTTAAATATAATATATATGGTGTTTGGTAACGAATGGCCATAACTTAATCTTAGATTCCTGAGGAGATCACATAGATAAAGTAACCTCGACACTAGGTAGTCGTTGTTATGTAATTAGAAATATAATGGATACTGTATCCTTCCATATATTAAAACTAATATACTGCGGTTTGAGCAGTCAGTCCTTCAGTACTGCATAATATTTTCGGGCTCATCTCTATATACGAATAAAGATTTTATATCTCAAAAAAATACTACGAACTATGTTTAAAGTATCACCAGCTACATCATGTAAGCCACTATTTATGAAAGCTTACATCTTAACTCTTTCTAGCCTATATATTTTACAGCTATTAATGTATATAAAAAAACATGAGCGAACATTCCTTATGATCTGCATCCACATAACACACACCTAAAGGATAACATACATAAGCCTTTTTCCCGCCTAGGAGTCACCCAGCATGCTCCTAGCTACATTGGGATTAAATGTTTTAATAAGTTCAGTGACATGTCGGTGATACTTAAGATGCATCTTGGCACTATTAAATGCTTTGAACAAAATCTAAAAACATTTCTAGTTTTTTATGCCATGCTTTTTACAGTATTAAAAAAGCCATGCTTTTTACAGTATTAAAGAATTTTTAAATTTTTAATGTATGTCTTGTAATGTATTTTTTTAATGTAATATTTAATGTACTAAACTTTTAATGTGTGTATACATTTGTATACTTTGACTAGTCAGATAAATTTATGTTATGTTGTATACATTGTATACATTTCAAGACGAATAAATTCTATCTATCTATAAGAAATCAGTAGTAATTGTAATTATTATCTGGTGAAAACTTGAATCAACGTGGCAACGTGGTGTTCCGGCCGACCATGCGGAGTCGGCTTTAACAAGTCGCCCTCTCTCTCTTAGCTAGCGACCATCGAATCAGCCAGTCGAAATTATACAGTCCATTTCATTTCAGTTTAATTAATGTTTCAAATGTTAAATTTATTATAGTTCAGTAAATAAAAAGTGTATAACGTATGCAATTCATTTCTAAATAAAGTTTGGTCCGTACGATCCAGATGGAAAGAAGATTACAATAATTTTGATGCAAAAACAAGTGAGTCCTATTTCATTATTCAATTTCCTAACCTCATAAATTTACAAAACGTGTTTCTTTACCTATCTAAAACCCTACCGGTAGCCGAAATTTATTGTTTAACCGGTTTTCCATACGGTTAAAATCTCAGTTCATATCAAGTATATTTATACAGCGTTGCCGATTAGTTTAACATATCCGATTTTAAAATATTTATGCAGGATTCAAAAAATTAATTATTATTTTCATTACGGACTAATAAGTAATTTAAAAACTTGGTTCTTTTCATTGTTTTATTAAAGCTTTTTTATTTAATGATTGCAAGTGTTTATTAAAAGCTTTACAATATATGTATGCACGTTCATTTTAACGTAAAAACAAGTTTTTTATTACTTTGAAAGTGTGAAATTTATGTTTTCATTTATGCATTTAATGTTAGAAATCTCACAGTAGATTTTATTTCAATTTATTTTACATAATGGCTGATCTTAAAAAACTAAGACGTAAACGAGGTTCGATTAAACAGCAATTGACATGTTTTATTTCATTTTTCAACAAAATTCAAAAACTATACGATGATAGTGAACATATAGAACAGACAATTATTTTTGATTTACAACAAAGATCTGCAAAATTAGGTTCATTATATGATGAGTTTAATGATTTACAAACCGACATTGAACAAGAATGTGATGATGATCAATTAGAAAATGAATATGCTGAACGAATTAACTTTACAAACGACCATGCAACTTACACAGCAAGTGCTTTATGTTTGGTATCCAAATTAAATGTAATAATTAGTTCTGAAACAAATAATACAACTCACAGCGAGTTATTTGAAAATAAAGTAGAATTTGTCAAGCTTCCTCCAGTCACAATTCCTTCCTTTAATGGAGAGTTTTGCAAATGGATAGAATTTAAAGAAACATTTGAGTTATTAGTTCATCAAAACTCTTCATTGAATGACATTCAAAAATTCCATTACTTACGAACTTCTTTAGGCACAGAAGTGCAACAAATTGTTAAGCATTTAGAATTTTCTAAACAAAATTATATTTTAGCATGGCAGGCTTTATGCAAACGGTTTGACAATCCTCATTTGCTTGTCAATAGTCATATTAAATCGTTATTTAATTTAAAATCAGTCACACAAGAAAGTGCTAGTGCTGTAAGAGAATTAGTAGATACAGTTAATCAACATTTGCTTGTTTTAAAGAATTTAAACTTGTCTTATGAAAATCCATTATCTAGTGCTATGTTGATTCATATTATTTCAGACAAATTAGACAAAGTTACTTTAAAAGAATGGGAGCAAAAATACGATAAAGATACTTTACCAGAAGTCAATGATTTATTTAAATTTCTAGATAACAAAGCAAATCAATTAGAAAAGCTTGAAGAGAGGGGAATAAATGTCAACTCTCAAGTTCAACAAAGTTCTCAACAGAGAAAACCATTTAAAAAACATGTATCTTTAGTGTCAAATAATCTTTCTAATGCAAAGAAAATATGTCATTTATGTCAAAGTGATCATCCTATTTACTATTGTCCTCAATTTTTACAATTAAGTGTTTCTCAAAGATGGACAAGGATTAAAGGTATGAAATTATGCACAAATTGCCTATGCAAGGGACATTTTAGTAAAGATTGCAGTCATGGGTCCTGTAAAGTTTGTAAAGGTAAACATAATACCCTGTTGCATCATTATCAGGATCAAGGAACTTATTCAATTAATCACATTACAAATTCAAATATGCGAGCAGCTCAAGCTCAGTCATTACAAGTAACAAATAATGGCACCAATTGTCATGAATCAAATAACGCGACAGAGCTAGCTGTGTCTAATTTCTCAAAAACTAATAATACATATGTTTTACTGTCTACTGCCATCATTAATATATGGGATGATAATGGTCAAGTTCATCAGGTAAGAACTGTTCTTGACAGTGGTAGCCAGACTTCATTTCTAACAGAAAAATTATGCAAAAAACTTAACCTAAAGCAAATAGATGCAAATCTTTCAATTGTGGGGATCAATCGTGTCACTTCCACCCTACGTTATAAATGCAATGTTTCTATTGGATCTACTTATGATTCAGATATCTTCAATTTAACATGTTTTGTCCTACCTAAAATTACAGAAAATTTACCTATTTATAACATTGAAGGTTCTAAATTAAATATTCCTAAAAACATTTCTTTGGCAGATCCTTCGTTTCATAGATCACAATCAGTTGATATGCTTATTGGTTCCGATTTATTCTGGGATATACTTCGAAATGGAAAAATTTCTCTGGGTAAAAATCTTCCTGTCTTACAAAACACATGTTTTGGTTATGTAGTTGCCGGGTTGTGGTCACAAAATGTCGATAAGGTCCAATGTTTTTTTGTACAGAATGATCAAGTACAGAAGGATCTTGAAAAATTTTGGTCAATAGAAGAAGTTTCAAATACAAAGTTAATTTCTCAAGAGGACAACATATGTGAAGAACATTTCAAGAATACATATTCTAAAGATTCAACTGGTAAATTTATTGTCAAGATTCCATTAAAAGAAAGTAGAGAACAGTTAGGAGATTCAAAAGACTTAGCTGTGAGGAGATTTCTAAATCTTGAAAGACAATTTGAAAAAGATCTTCAATTAAAGAATCTTTATGTTTCATTTATGCAAGAATACCAGGCACTTAACCATATGTCAATTGACACATATTTCGATGACAACATTTGTTCATATTTTCTACCTCATCACGGGGTGCTCCGCAATGAAAGCCTTAGTACACGATTAAGGGTTGTTTTCAATGGTTCTGCTAATACAACAACTGGTAAGTCTCTTAATTCTATTCAGTACGCAGGACCAGCTATTCAAAATGATATTTTTGCAATATTGTTAAGGTTTCGGTTTCATAAATATGTAGTTATTTCAGACATCGAAAAGATGTATCGGTGTATTGATGTCCATCCAGATGATAGACATTTACAAAAAATATTTTGGAGAGAAGATGTACATCATCCTCTTTCAATTATGACCTTAAATACCGTGACATACGGTACCTCGAGTGCTCCATATCTCGCAATGAGATGTTTAAGACAAATTTCTTATGATTGTCAAGATAATTTTCCATTAGAATCCAAATTAATTCATGAGGATTTTTATGTCGATGATTTGATTACAGGTTTTGATGATTGTGATGTTGCGAAACAAACCTGCAGAAACATTTCTAATATACTGCAGTCAAGTGGTTTTAATTTACGCAAATGGGTTTCCAATGATCCTGTCATTATAGAACATTTAAAGAACAATGCCGATGAACTTAGCGTCTTAAACTTGGGAAATTCAGATCCTGTAAAGACACTAGGAATACAATGGATTCCTAAACTCGATATTTTATGTTACAATCTTCCAGAACAACAAAAAACAATAAATACAAAAAGACAGATCTTGTCAGAGATTGCAAAGGTTTATGATCCGTTAGGACTTATCAGTCCATGTATTATTTTGGTCAAAATATTATTACAAAAGTTATGGAAACAAAAACTGAATTGGGATGATCAGATTCCCACAGGATTAGTAGAGGACTGGAATCGATTCAAGTCCAAATTACATTTGATAAATCAATTTCAATTGAACAGATTTATTTTAACCGAATCGCATCAACGATACGAGATACACGGATTTAGCGATGCATCGTTCAATGCTTACAGCGCAGTTGTGTATATCAGGTGCTTCGATAATTCTGGAAACATTACAGTTCGTTTATTATGTTCAAAAACCAAGGTGTCTCCTATAAAACTACTTACAATTCCACGATTAGAATTAT